CGGGATACGAACCTGCAACCTTCCAGCCACTGGCACAGATTCTTAGCCACAGAGTCAACAGTCCCAGCATCTGAAGAGCTGGCAGAGGCTGTTGAATTGGAGCAATTAAAGCATTAATGATCTGGTTAAGGCTGTTAAATGCTGGGTTAAAATTAAAACATTCAGACACACCATCCCTCGAGAATCAAGATTGTACAGCCTTGATATACTGTATGTAATCCAGCCTCTAAAGTACCAGAACACAGCTGAATGGTTAAGTAAATAGTTCTACATGCTTCTGAAAGATGCAGCTGTACATCACACTCATTTTCCAAAGAACAATAATGCAGTACACACCTGAGGACGACTCTACAGTTGAAGGTATTATGCATTTAAATTATGCAACTTACAAAATGGTGAAAATCGGAAAATATTTTGAAAACAAAACGCAATGTTACTATAAAGCCAGGGCTGCTTACTGTAAAGCAAATAACATAATCTGATTGTTTGTCCTGTGTAGTATGTTGAATTTGAAAGCAACACACTGGATGGAATCTTATGCATGAATAATTTTAAATATCTTAAAATGTTAATACTAACCACAGCATGGTAGCACAGTGGGTATTATCTGCATGGAGTTTGTATGTTCTCCCTGTGTTTGTGTGGGTTTCCTCTAGGTACTCTGGATTCCTCCTGCAGTCCAAAGACATATTGGTAGGCTAATTGGCTTCTGAGAAAACTGGCCTTGTTGTGAGTGTGTGCATGCCTGTGTGTGTTCCCTGTGATAGACTGATATCCCGTCTAGTGTGTATCCTGCCTTGTGCCCATTTCTAGCTAGACAGACAACCCCCGCCACTTTTCTTCCAGACACTTTCATGAAGAAATCCCTGTTCTCTAAGGCACATCAGCAAAACAGCCTAAACACCCTTACTAAACAAGAGCTGGGGCTTCTCCTGCTCTCTGGTTTCACAACTACACCTTTACATCACACTTCACACTGTTTGCAGAACCAGAAGCATAACAATCAGCCCTCCCACCTTGGGCTGGTGAATAAAAGATGGCTGTACTCCCCTGTTATGATTAACATGTTATGTTATCTGGCCTCAGAGCCACACATTTGCTAAAATTCCAGCTGAGCGCCACTCATTTACGAATGTCATCATTTCAATTGAAGTTACTACACTTATACCATGATTCACACAAGCACTTCTCTTTCAATTATCCTCAGTATTTACCAGACAGAAGAGAAGCCCTGTTGCCATCTGAAAGCCTGTATCTGTCAGAACCCCTCCAGGTTCCTAGATCTCCCTTTTCGGGGAAGACGGCTCAGTCTTTTCATCCTGCTGTCTTCCCACATAGCCTTCATGCTCACAAACACTGGCCAAACACCTTCGGCGTCAGCAACAGTCATTAGCTACTGTACCTAGGACATGCCTCCTCTTTGGCTCACATTCGTCACCCTCAGGCTTCTGTAGCCTGCAGCCAGTCTGCTGTCTTGCCCTGCCACATGGCTGGTGACCACAACTGTTAGCCTCTGCTTTAAGGTTGCTTTTCATGGGGATCTCTCTCAGAGTTCCAGTGAAAAGTGTTAACTCCATTTCAGCTTCTGTGACTTTCCCCTCACTAGATGTTTTCCATAGACCTCCGTGCTGCCTGGGCTGGACTCCCTGCACACTTCCCCAGTGGACACACCCACAGAAACATCCCCACACCTGCTCGGGCCTCTCTCATTGACTGACCAGTCTATGTCAAACACAAACACAACAGACAGACTCTGCAAGTTCTGGAGAGCTGTCCAATGACATACATTGCTGTCGTGCAGTTTTCCTTCACTCTCTGCAGTCTGAGAGAAACCATGCAGTGTCTCTGTATCCCAAGAGTCTGTATGGTCTCTCTACATCCAGAGGGATCCTGAGTGGTCTCTCTA